CCTTCTTCTCCCTCTTCCTCCCTTTTTAAAATCAATTTTTTAAAAAAGAACATTTTTTCATAGAAAACTTATCTAGGAATATATTTTAAGAGTAAGATTAATAAGGGAACTGAATAATATTATATAAATTTTCATGCTTGTAAAGAGAAAAAATGTGGTCTTCATATGAAAATTTATTTTTTAATAATTTAACCAAGAAGCAGGTAAAAAGCTTAATAAAATTTTACTTTTTCTCTTTCAAAAAACATTTGCCTTCCATGGTTACAAAAATTTACTGCAAATTATCTTAGTAAGAAATAACCTAAATTATATTCTCATGGGTAGTAGAAAGCAAAGGAGTAAACCTTAGTGCATATAATTCCTGGCTGGTTCTAGCCATTATGTCCTCCTTACATACGGAATATATTGAGTATTTCAAAAGTGCAGAAAATAAACAGAAAGAGGAGCAAACTTTCTATAAACATGTTGATAAAATAGAGAAAAATAAAATGATCGCTTTGTGCTTTTCTAACTTCACACATCCTTTTCAGGAGCTATTTAGCAAGTTGGAATGAAACAATTTCTATTGAATGAAGGTGAGTACACCTATTGAGGTTTAAAAGGTAAAAAGCAGCAAAAGGGAGGCAAGTCCAGTGCCCTTTGAAGGGCAGCACTCTCTCATGACCTTCCCATGGAGCAGCAGGCCAGTGCTGATGGTGCACACAATGGCGCATCGTCACTGAAAGGAGACATCACAGGCTCACAGAAAACCCATCTCAAAGTGAGGAGGTTTGGTTTTACTAGCACTTCCACAGAATCCTCCAAGTAAAAATAGTTCTTTCTCTCTTCCTTTTGTTTAGGAACTTGAATGACTGGTTAATCCAGGCCATCACTGTCCTCCTTTCACAGTGCACTCTAATTTTAAAAAGATTTCCTCACATGAAACCTAAAGAACAATATAAACAAACAAAATGGAAACAGACTCAGATACAGGGAACAGACTGATGGCTGCAGAGGGGAGGGGATTTGGGGGCTGCGTGAAAAAGGTGAAAGGATTGAGAAGTACCGATTGGCAGCTACAAAATAGTCACTAGGATGTGAAGTACAGCATAAGGAATATAGTCAATAATATTGTATTGATTATGTATGGTGCCAGGTGGGTACTTGAAATATTGGGGGGATCACTTTGTAAAATATATATAATGGTCTCACCACCATGCTGTACACCTGAAACTAATGCAAAATAATATTGCATTATTTTCAGAATGCAAACTATATAGTTTTCAGAATGTAAACTATAACTGAAAAATAAAATAAAATAAAAAGATTTCCTTTTCCGCTGCAGCATTTGGTTTCCCCTTCTCAATCTACCATGTTCACATTAACAGAACATTTAAGATTCACCAATTCCTATGGGAAAAATACCCTAAATAATTTAGTTCTTTTTCTAAAGGTTCTTTCTCCAGGAGCATTTACTTTATTGTTAATTCTCACATGAGGATATTTTTTCCCCACTGCTTTTCAGAGAGAGTGAAGGGACGGAGGGAGGGAGAGGGAGAAAGAGAGAGAGAAACATGGATGTGAGAGAGACACATCCACTGGTAGTCGTGAACCCATAACCTAGGTACGTGCCCTTGACTGGGAATCGAACCTGCGACCTTTTGGGGTGTGGGCCAACACTCTAACCAATGAGCAACACAAGCCAGGGCAAGCATTTTATTTTTTAATGATTTCCATTTATATTCTTGAATTCAATTTAGTTAAAACTAAATTTGGCAATATAGCACTAGAAACTCTTTGCTACCTCATTATTTCTTTCAAGGAAGAATTCACAATTTAAAAGCAAGAGAAAATGAAAACCCAGTATTGTGGAAATTACCTCATCTGCTCCTTTCTTTTCTCCTGACCTGGAAGGCGATCCACTGTCTTTTTCATAGACATGCTGTAAAAAACAACAACAAGATAATGTTTAACAGAGGGAGGTGATACAAGATAATAGTGACTTTAATCCCAAAGGGCTAAATATATAGACTGTTAAGAACAAGGACCCCTTTAATCCTCCTCCTGGGAATGCTGATAATTCTATACCCACTGATGTGGGTGGTTTCAAAACTCAAGAGAACTACAGACATGCATTTGGGGTGTAGAAAGTCAGTCTGTAATTAACCAGACACAGACTGATAACAATGCTAAGGTGGCATCTCATCTCCTACAAAACGACAAATTGCAGTGTGGGAGATGTCTGGTTCCTGAGGGAGATGAGATGTCTGAGGGTCACGCTGAGGGTAAAGCCATACCTGAGCCTCAGTCAACATGGACAGGAGGGAGGACCAGGTCTTCCCAGTCAACCATCACTTCGATGGCTCTTAAAATTCCCTACAGCTCTTCTAAGTATTCACCAGTTCAGAGAGAGAAACCCTGAAGTGGCAAGACCACACCTGCAACTTCCACTCACTATGGCTTTAAAAGTTCATAATATCCAGAAACAGAATTATTTTTCTCACTAGAACACTGGGGGTGAATGCAAGTATTTGTATGTGGTACATAAAAGTTTCAAGTAGCTTACAGGCTCATTTGTTTTGATGCTAAGGTAAAATAAGCTATAAAGTTTATTGATTTTTTTGAGAACTGAAAATTGCATATTTCTGAAAAAAGAGTACAAAGAATTATTTCATTTTTGCACACTGTGGGATGTTCAATAAAGTGAGAAAAGGAGGCCTAAATTTTTTTTTTAAAAAAAGCTCATCATTGGGTTCAATCACAATTACCTTCAGTTCAACCAAAATTTAAAATTCTATTACATTCCCTAGAGCAGAATCATAACATGATATGTAGGTAATTGAAATTAGTCATATTAAGAAGAGTTGCAATAGTAATAATAATTATACCATTCTTTATTATTTACATGGCACTTTCATATGCATTCTTATTTGACAATAAAAGAAGCTCATATGACTTTGTGGATAAAATACTAAGAATAAGAGTCAATTGCTGTGTTTTTCACAAGGACAGCATCTAACAAAGGGGAAAACCCATGTCTTCTGACTTAAAATCTGTTGTTTGTCATTATACAAACAAGATAGAATACTATTCCCTTACATCATATCAACAAATATTTTAGTAAAATTAAAAAAAAAAGGCCAAGGAATGCCCAACACATGGGCATTTTTGTATGAAAGACTATGAAGAAATCACTTTCATGAATGGAAAGTTCTTCCCCATATGACAAGCTCTCATGAGCTGGTGAGTGGAATCCACAGAAAAGCAGGCTGCTGCATAGCTTGTGAATGAAGCCCTGTACACAGGGCTTGTCTTACCCACAAGTCCTAGTCAGGAGTTTGCTTGTCCACAGTTGAGAGCAATCAGTAGTGAGTAGTTAATAAATCTTGGGGGGAAAACACCATTTAAAAGCCCATATGCACCATGGTGGGAATTGGTAAGTTTTAGAATAAAGATTCCTAAAGGCCAGACGAGGGGGAAGAATTCTTCGGCACTTGGAGACAGAATTCGAGAGGGACAGATTGAAATTTACTCAGTCTGTCTCCTTCCAGAACTGGTCATTTAGAGCCATGATATCACATGCATTTATGATCTCCAATTCCATGTCTTTGTCAGATTAGATATAGGTAATAACACAACAGTATCCACTATTTTACTGAACACACTGCCTAGAGCATCTCATTTACTTGCCAGGAGGTATTATTATTCCATTTTACAAATAAAGAGGCAGTTTGCTCTAGTCAGTGCAAGGTTCCATGTTCTCCACAAGGGCTCAATCTGCTTTCTACTCATGTAGCAAATATATGTTATGACTTATTACTCCACAGTAAATGTATAGCTTTTTTCTCTCTATTGGTATTCAGATATTTTTCTTTAGAAATTTTTAAAAAGTCGTTTCCTGATGGTGTTTTAAAGTTGCAGTTCTCCAGATTAAGCAATAATATCAGTTACATGCTTTCATTGAAATGCTCAAAATTATTCAAAATAATGTTGGTTCTAAATATATATATATAACAAATATTTTTTAAATGTTGTTATAATGACAACTTATAAAACTTATGGATTTTAAGAATTGGTATTTTGTCATTTAAAAAGAAATATTTGCTCTCAATAGGAAGCTTTTTTATAATATTTAAAAGCATAATGACAAATAAAAATCACATAAACAAGTGGCAAAAATTTTAGGAACTGTACGTATGGTATTTTTCCATTTTCTACTTTTTAACCTAGCTTTTTGTTATAAAACTAGAGGCCCAGTGCACGGGTTCATGCACATTGAAAAGAAGTTAATCAGAGGAAATATTCTAATATCACTATTTGCCCTTTCTCTATAATATAATAGTGTCAACGAAATTCACGATCAACAATGACAGATTGAAACACACCCATGCGATTGGCGCAGCCAGAGCTTTATATGTATCGCACGTGCCTGAGTCAACTTAGCCTATTATATACATACATAGAACAAACTTGCTTAATTAGAGCTGCTTTCTGATTTACTAAACTTTTTCCAGCCCAGTGAAGCACCCCAACTTCTCTTTCAGGTAATTGTCAGCAACACAGCAGTAAGTATCAACACAAGGCAGATTATTATTGTAGATCACACAGAGAGAACAAAGGGTAAAATATTTAACTGCAGCAGTGTTTGACTATATTCTGCGCAGTGAAACTTTCTAAATCTCCACTTTCTGGCTAATGAAAAGAAAATACAATTCTACTGAGTCTCCTATCTACCTACTCCAGGACTTCTGTGGGGATCAAATGAGATGAGGCACGAGAAAATGCTTAACAGACATTTGGTCAAACTGTAAAATGTTTGCACCTGGCTATAAAGCAAGTCGTGTTCCTGGGCTGAAGAAACTCCAAGGAGGCTAGTTGCTAGGGAGAAGAAGCTAGGACTTCTGTGGGGATCAAATGAGATGAGGCACGAGAAAATGCTTAACAGACATTTGGTCAAACTGTAAAATGTTTGCACCTGGCTATAAAGCAAGTCGTGTTCCTGGGCTGAAGAAACTCGAAGGAGGCTAGTTGCTAGGGAGAAGAAGCTAAGTGTTGCTACGTAATGTCATTACCTGGTGCCCACAGCGGCCTTTTCCAGGATGGGCTGGGCTGTGGGCCGCATTTTGCGCCATAGGGTCTCAGCAGCATTGGCTGTGATTTGGTGGGGTGTCGCTCCGGGGTGGTGGTGGGGTCTGTGTCCCACTTGGCGGAAGCTGAATGTTACTTTTTTGGTGCCAGGTCTGCAGTGACATTTCTTTGTAAGTGACCAGTGCGTGTCACGTCAGCTCCTGTGCTGAGCATCTGCTCCCTGGTGGTCAGTGCGTGTCATAGTGACCGGTCGGACGGTCGGAGGGACTTAGCATATTAGCCTTTTATATATAGATTTTGGTAACATACAAAAGGTTGAAAGAATACACTAAGTGCCAATATTCCCACCACTTAGATTCAACAACTATTAATGCAGATCTATGTATCTGTCATATATTATAGACAGATACATAAATCTATTTATCTATGTTTGTATATGTACCTATATTTGAAAGTAAATTGGAAATATCCTGAAACTTTACCCCTAAATATTTCACCATGCATCTCCTTAAATTGAGGACTTTTCCCATATAACTCCACCATCATCACTTTAAGAGAATTAACAAGAATTATTAGTGCCATTCAATTTCCAGTAAATAGCAACTTTCTGAATGAACCATTGCCCTGACCCTTTTCTGAGGCTCATTCAACACTCAGCATTCAATTAATGACATAAAATCAATTATATCTTTTTACTGAGAGAGTGTCAAAGTGCCTAATGTTTTAATTCAAGGAATAATTGAGCACTTTTGACATAGTTGAGATGGTGAAATGAAATATTTGGGAAATATGTCAAATCTTATCCAGTTTAGGAATCTGCAGGAAGACTTTCTAAGAACAAAGAGAGAAAACTTTGTCTGCTACTAGTATGTGAGGCTGGTGAGATGGGGAGAGGTGATGAGCATGAGAAGGGAAGGAGAGAGAGGTCAGGGAAGAGAATCGAACCACAAACCCGAAAAATCCAAGCAGTTTTCCATGAGGAAAAAGAAACTAACATGTACTAAGCATCTACTAAAAAAGAATAGAGGATCTGTCTATTCCTAGGTTTCTTAATTTTTTTGTTGCAATGGTTAATGGGATTTTTTTTTAGTTTCTCTTTCTATGAGCTCATTTTGGTGTATAAAAATGCCAAAGATTTCTGAGTGTTAATTTTGTATCATGCTATTTGCCAAATTCATTTATTAAATCTAGAAGTTTTTCTTTGGAGTCTTTAGGGTTTTCTATGTACAATTCATGTCATCTACAAATAATGACAGTTTTATTTTTTCTTTTCAAATTTGGATAGCTTTTATTTCTTCTTCTTGTCTGATCGCTATGGCTAGCACTTCCAATACTATGTCGAACAGGAATGGTGAAAGTGGGCATGCCTGTCTTGTGCGTGTTCTTAGGGGAAATGGTCTTAGTATTTGCCTATTGAGTATTATGTAGGCTATAGGTTTGTCATATAAGGCTTTTATTATGTTAAGGTATGGTCCCTTTATTCCCACTTTGCTGAGAGTTTTTTTTTTTTTATCAAAAAAAGGGTGTTGAATTTTGTCAAATGCTTTTTCTGCATCAATTAATATGATCATGTGGTTTTTGTCTTTCAATTTGTTTATGTGAAGTATCACATTTACTGATTTGCAGATATTGTACCATCATTGCATCCCCGGAATAAACCCCACTTGGTCATGGTGTGTGATCTTTTTAATGTTAAGGAGGTAAAAGACCTGTATGCAGAAGACTACAGAACATTGAAAAAAGAGATAGAGAAAGATATAAACAAGTGGAAGAATATACCATGTTCATGGATTGCTAGAAACAACATCATTAAAATGTCCATACTACCCAAAGCAATCTATAGATTCAATGCAA